AAGTGGGACAAGCATGGACTCAGGCTTGACTGACCAGTTCCAAATGGGACAATAAGTGGACACAGGCCTGACTGACCAATCCCAAATGGAACAAACAGCAGGAGGGAGCCTGGCCAAGAGGGAGCCTCCTGTGGAACAGGAGGGCTCGGCCAACCAGTCCAGCCAGGCCTGGCCAGAGGATGTAGGTGAGGCGTTCCATGACTCAGGGTCTGGCAGCCAGGCCGGACCAGGCCACTATGAGCTGCTCATGCACAGGGGAGAAAGCAACCCCAAGCCCCACTTGCCAGCCCTTCCCCACCCCCAGAGCCACAGGAGCTGCTGCCAACCTGCTTCGTGCCTGACCATGGGCTCCTGCGCCGTGTCCTCCAGCACCTGGATGAGCAGGGGGATGGCGGCCTCGTCCTGCATCTGGCCCAGGCAGAAGGCCAGCTCGTGCTTCAGCAGCGCCGAACCGTCCCCGAAGGCGCGGCCGATCCAGTTCACGGCCGCGGGGCCGCCCAGGTTCCTCAGGGTGAAGAGCGCCCGGAACCGCGCGGGCAGAGGCTGCGCCGCGTCCACCAGCGTGCGGCCGATGGCCTCCACCTCCTGCTCCGTCACCATGGCGGGGGCACGGTCCGGGCACACGGGGCGCGCTGCGGGGGCTGCTCGGTCACCGTCCTGCGCGCGGGGAAGGGAGCGAGTCACGGGGAGCCCTCACCGCCACCGGGTCCTGGGGAACGGCACCGCGGGGCCGGGGCTGAGCCCGCAGCGAGTGCCCGGACTCGGGCTCACCGGATACCCGAGACCCCGCGCCGCGATCGCGCCGGGCCGGGCCCGAGGGGAACGGGGAAACGAGGGGGGATACGGAGGGTCAGGGGGAAACAGAGGGGCTCGAGGGGCTTCCTGGGTGGTGCCGGGAGGTCCAAGGATGACCAGGGACGACCAGAGGGACTGGGTTTGTCCCTGGAGGGTGCCGGGGGTTCCAGGGGTGACCGAAGGGGCTGGGTTTGTCCCTGGGGAGTGCCGGGGGTTCCAGGGTTGACCGAAGGGGCTGGGTTTGTCCCTGGGGAGTGCCGGGGGTTCCAGGGCTGACCGAAGGGGCTGGGTTTGTCCCTGGGGGGTTCCGACCGCGCCGGTGCCGCACTCACCGCGCGCCGCCATGTTGCCGCTCCGTCACGTGACCGAGCGGCGGCGCACGCGCAGCACGGCCCGAGATGGGGGCGCTGCCTCCCCCAGGCCACCAGGGGGCGCTGCCGCCTCCAGCGCCGCCATTTCCCGGGAGGCGGGTCCGGCCCGGCGGGAACCGGGATGGGGAGGATGGAGGGAGCGGAGGGGGGGAAGAGCCCGACAGAGAGACAGGGGCCCCTCTGGAAAAGGGCCGGGGGTGCTCCAGGCTGGGCAGAGCCCAGAGAGGGAGCAGGATGGGTAAATCCATCCAGAGACAGGCCGCGGGGGTGCCAGGCTGGGCAAACCCCTCTGGAGAGGCACCAGGGTTGTCAGGCCGGGCAAATTCCTCCAGAGAGGGGCTGGAGGGTGCCAGGCTGGAAAAAACCCTTCCAGGGAGGGATCAGAGGCTGCCAGGCTGGACAAACCCCACCCTGAGAGGAGCTGGGGGGTGCCAGGCTGGGCAGCCCACCCCACTTGCCGCAGGGCAGCACGTGCAGGAGTTTGCGGGTGCAGTTTCATTCCCTTGGCGTGTCACTGCTCTGCCTCTTCCTCCCCCTCCCAGGTGTGTTTACGCAGCAGGTTTTGAATCTTCAAAGGAGTTTTGCCTCATTTCAAGGCTCCTGCTGGTTTCAGCCCTGACGGAGGGGCCACGGGACAGAGGAGAGGGAGATCCCCCATTCCCCCATCCACTCAGCCACGACCCCCACTTTTGCTCCCACAGCACACACCACACCACTCAGATCCTGGCAGAGAGAGCAAGGGCACAAAATACATTCCACTGCTTGAAACCTGCACAGCAAACCCGGCACAAGCACGACATGGCCACCCCCGCCCGCCCTGGGTCCGGATGGTGCAGCTGGTCGGGCTGCAGTCCTGGCACCGCCGGGCCAATGTTTGCCAGAGTCTAGGAGCAGGGCTGTGCAGGGAATGTGCAGGGCAGCCCCATCAGCCCTCCCCGCAGCTCTCGAAGTACTGGCACATCAGCTCCCGCACTTGCTCGGCCCGGGTGTCCTCCATGGCAGCCGGCGCGGGCTGGCAGGGCTTGGGCAGCTCGGTGGGCTCAGCCCCCTCCAGCCACTCCTCGTTGAAGGGGTTGTCGTGGGCCTCGCAGACGTTGTGCAGGATGCAGCAGGCCAGCACCAGGGTGGGCAGCAGCTCCAGGCTGCAGTCGTCGCACTTGAGGAGGATCTGCCAGCGCGCCTTGAGGCGCAGGAAGGCGTTCTCGATGACGCTGTGCGCCCGCCTCAGGCGGTAGTTGAACTGCAGCTGGCGCTGCGTGAGCTTCTCGTCCTCCTGGTAGGGCTTGAGGATCCAGTCCTGCAGCGGGTAGGTGGCATCGCCCAGCAGCACGTACTTCTGCGCCTTCCCCATGAAGTGCTTGGGAGGGTTGGGGCACAGCCGGCCCTCCTTGGCCAGCATCCACAGGCTGGAGCTCTCCAGCACGGCGCTGTTCTCCATGCTGCCCGGGAAGGCGGTGGACACGTCCCAGAACTGCCCCAGCCCGTCCACGGTGGCCTGCGTGAGGATGGAGTGCCAGCCCTGGCCGTTGCAGTAGTCGCTGGCGAGGCGCAGGGGCGGGTGGATGGGGATGTGCAGGCTGTCCAGCGCCCCGATGCAGTGGGGGAAGCCCCAGCGCGCGCGGAAGATCCGCACCATGTTCTCCAGCTCCTTCTCGCCGGGCAGCCGCAGGTAGAGCGGCTTCAGCAGCAGCACCACGGCGTAGCTCACCTCCCTCACGCAGCTCTGCACTGTGGAGGGCCCCACGCCGAAGAGCGGGCTCAGGGTCTGGTAGCCCACGTTGGTGGCCAGGTGCCACAGGGCCACGGCCACCCTCTTCTCCAGGGGCAGGGTGGGGTGGAAGTGGGCGCTGTGCGGGGCCAGCCCGGGCCGCAGCTGGTTGCAGATGTAGAAGAAGGTCTCCTTGGACATCCGGAACTTCTCCAGCCAGTCCTGGGGCCCAAACTCCTTCAGGACCACCCGCTCCCACCAGTCCGAGCTCCTGAGGCTGGGCCAGGCGCGGGGGTAGAAGCAGCAGCTGGTTCTTCTCCGGTGAGCGATCAGGAGCTGCAGGGGGAAACACGAGGGGTGTGAGAGGGCACCTCCCCAGGATGCCCCTCTGAAGACCACCCAGTTCAAGAGACCTGCTCAAAGCAGGGGGTCACCCAGTGCCAGGTAGCCTGTGGTCCCAACCAGAGTAACACTGGGTCAAATCTTCCTCAGAAACCCCACTGTGAACCCACCAGGCAGTAGCTGTGACCATGGACAAGATGTCCAAGTGCTGCAGACAAGGAGCTTCCTGAAAAAGTCCCTTTTTTGGGGTGCCCGCTCCCCCTGGGGCTTTGTATTTTAACGACCATTCCTGGATTTCCTGCGACCAAGAGAACTATGGGCTCAGCCCTGATTTGGAAGGGGGAGCGAGCACCCCTCGAAGGTGGGAGTCATGATTTGGAAAGGGGAGCTCCTGGTTCCTCCACAGGAATTGTTTTTCTGTTATTGAATTCTAAAAATAACTTTGAGCTGAAAAGAGGTTTTTTCCCTTTCCTTGGGCACTGCTGAGGACAGCAGGTCCTCCATGTTCCCCCTCCCAAGCTTGTCTTCGCTGCCCTGTATCCCTTGTATCCCCAGGCCTTCTGTATCCCCCATCCTTTGTGTCCCCCACTTTGATGTCACCCCCTCCTTCTTGTCCCCATATCCTCTGTATCCCTCATCCTCTGTGTCCAGGATCACATCCCATGTCCTTCAAGTCCTCTGTCCCTCATGTCCCCCCATCCCCCACATTCCCCATCCTTTGTGATCTGTGTCCATGTGTCCTTTCTGTCCCACACCCCATGTTTTGGGTCCCACATGTCCCCCACCCTTTGTGTCTCACTTGTGACCCCCCCGTGCTCCCCGTCCTTCCCACCCCTGTGCTTTGTGTCCTGCACCCCCTGCCCCCCATTTTCTGTGTCCCTGTGACCTGTGTACCCTCGTGCCCCACATCCCTCCTGTCCATGTGTTCTGTGTCTCACACATCCCCCTTCCCGTGTGACCTCTGTGTCTCCCATATCCCCCCATCCCCTTTATCCCTGTGACCACTGTGTCCCCCATATCCCCCATCCTTTGTGTCCCTGTGACCATTGCATATCCCCCCATATCCCCTCATCCTTTGTGTCCCTGTGACCATTGCATATCCCCCCCATATCCCCCATCCTTTGTGTCCCCACGTCGTCAGTGCATCCCCATGACACCCCCATCCTTTGTGTCTCCATGACCTCTGCATCCCCCGTGACACTCCCATCCTCCATGTCCCCATGACTACTGCCTGTCCCCCGTGTCCCCTCGTCCACTGTGTCCCTGTGACCACTGTGTGCCCCATCCCCCATCCTGCATGTGCCCGTGGCCACTCCGTGTCCCCCATATCCCCCATCCTTTGTGTCCCCAGTGAATGTCCTCATATCCTCAGTGTATCCC